TAAGTGCATAAAACCAAACATGCAAGATACACATAAATTACCAAAAAAACAAAGATTAGATACACATAGTACAAAGTATCAAGCAATGCTTACACACAAAAAATCTCTCATTTTCAGTGTCAAGTATCAAGCATACACCAAAAACTAGCTTGCCAATCAACTGTCTCATATTTGCCAAACACAAGCACAAAGCAAAATATACTACCAACTGTCCAGTATCAAACAAACATATTGCAACAACTTCCTTTTTTATTGGTTTGACCTATTACCAACACTTTTTGCCCTATGTCTTGGTGGTTCTTTTGCAGTTGTCTTCACTCTTTTTTTAGGTTGCTGCGGAGTTTCTACAGTGGCATGTGGTGCAGCTGCAGGGGGATTCGCAGTTGCTGATGCTGAACTCCTTTGGCCCTAAAAAATTTTACATAAATTATTAATCTGATCTTAGATAAATCAAGGTGTGCATTAACTATATTTTTTAGGAACTAACCTTCTTGTTTTGCCTTTTTGCAGGTATCTAAACTCTATTTTTTTGTTGCTGGACAGTTGCTGGATTGGTATTCTCTTCATTCTGATTCTGCACAGACATTGGATCATTGATAGGCGTTGGGTTCACCACTTGACTCAAAGGAATTTGAGAATCCTGAAAAAAAAAATGGTGCATGGTTTATTACACAATAGTCCAACACTTTGTACAAGCATATCCTTAAACAATAAAAAAAGAAATTGCAAAAAGTTACATCATTTTCAGTGATTGTTGTGGGATGTTGGGAATCTTCAACAGGAACTTGCTCTTCACTTGCATGGGCATTTTCAGGTTGAGGGACCTACAACAAGTTAAAATATATCTAAATTAAACCTCCTGTCATGTACACTGTTTTCTAAAATTAAAAAATTAAAACTTACGGTGGTGGGTCCTTGTGCTTTGCATTTTCTTGAATTGTGTCCTTTTTGGAAACACTTTTGACAGGTCATTTGTCTCCCTTTTCGACTCATGTTAGTGTGCCCTTCCCATTCTTCCAAAACCCTCTTCCCTTTTGGCCTTCCTGGCATTTTCCTGGCTGGTGGGGGTTGAACAGGTGGCATTCCAGTTTTCTCCCACTGATTCATCCTTTCAGTTACAGGTACAGCATACTCATAAGCAGCTTTAAACTTCTCCTTCCTATACCAATGTGATACATAATCTTCTGCTTTTTCCTTCCTAGCGTTAATAGCTACCATGGCATGCCTACAAGGGATTCCAGTGAGATCCCATTCCCTGCATGTGCACTTTCTTTCATCCACATTAACCATGTATACATCCGCACCATTCTCTTGAACTTCATAACAGTTACTCCCCGGCCACAAGAATTTGCACCTTCTGCTTCCCCTCATATTTGCTACCAGCTTTTCCCATGTTCTTGGACCAAAATCATCTACAAACTTTCTATCCCCAAATTCCCTTCTTGCCACTGTCCTTTGACCACAAAATGCCCTCAAATCTTGATGCAATGAGACAATAGCCTTATGTCTTGATTCAACCAACAATCCATTGAAAATCTCACACATGTTATTATCAACTATATCTGACTTTGTCTCTGTTTGGAAGAACGCTCTACACCAATGCTTTGGGTTTGTGTTTAACATTGTTTCCCTTGCAGAAGGTTTCAATGATGTCAACTCATCCAGAGCTTTGGTAAACTCAGGTATGGTTCGTGCCTTAACACACTTCCAAAATGCCTTTTGCAGCTCCTTGCCTTTATCCTGCTTCCTAAAATTGCTGTACTTATGTCTAGCACAAAACCTGTGTTCAGCACATGGGAAGAGCTCCTCCACAGCCTTAAAAAGTCCTTAAAATCACATGAACATAAAGTGTAAGTCCCTGAAATCACATGAACATGAAGTGTTAGAGGACCCAATTGCTTATAATGCTAAATAGGTCATAAAACACGTTGGTACTTACCTTTTGTTGGTCAGACATAATGCAAAACCTGCTTCCATCACCCATGAGCAAATCTTTCCTCAGTTCTTCAAAAAACCATTCCCATGTCTCCTTTTTCTCAACCTCCACTACAGCCCAAGCTATCGGGTACATCTGATTGTTTGCATCTCGTCCAACAGCAGTCAGCAACTCTCCTTTGTAGGCACCTTTGAGGAATGCACCATCAACTCCTATTACACGTCTGCATCCAGCAAGAAACCCCTTCTTCAACGCACTGAAACAGACGTACATCCTTAAGAATGTAGGAGTTGTATCTACTGATTGTCTACAACACTGAAGCACAACGCTTGCTTCTGGATCTTTTGACCTAAGCTCATTTGCGTAATCAAATAACCTGTTGTATTCAGCATTAGAAACACTTTCAAATTTCTTCTTCAACTTATCCTTTGTCTTCTTGCGTTGCACAGGTGTCAACTCCACACCTAAATCATCTCGAATTGCCTCAAAAACATCTCCCCTATTCATACGTAGGGAAGATACTCCTCTTGTCTTAACCAGATGATCAGCAGCAACAGATGATGTGCAAACTTTATTTGTAACAATCCTCGAGCATGTGTGACTATTATAGAAAGTTTTTACCATCCAAGAATTTGTAGGAGTGTCCATCGCCAGTAGAATCTTCCAGTCACATTTCTCATTCTTGCACACTGCCCTCATTCGGAGCTTATCATTTTTTTTCCATGTAATTTCTCTCCCTCCCCTGATGCTCAATTGACCCACAGCTTTCTTGAATTGTTTCTTATTAAGAAATATCATACCAAGCTCAATTTCCTGGTTGCCTTCACTTTCATCAAAGACAGGATGCCTTGCTTTTCTTCTGACACCATGTTTTGCTTCACTGTCCTCTTCATCACTTGTGGTTTGGTAACTTACTTCATCACCAGAGTGTATTTCTGCATCATCCTCACCTTGAACAGCAATGTTTATATTATCTACAATAGAAACAAATATTCATTAACACCAAATGTAAATGTAAATTATGCTTAAAAAGTAAATGGATAACACTATTATGAAAATAAGAGTAATACCAGCATGTTGTTGAGTCGAACTGTAATGCCTCAAATTATCCCTTGCTAGAATAGTCTCCTCATCTTCATTGTCAGACAACTTAGGAAAATCCTCAAGCCCATGCTCATACTCATTTTCCTCAGGTTCTTCAACATTATCTATATCAGGTTGTTGAGGAAAACAATCATTCTGGACATCACTACTACCAGCAACAAAGTGGTCCCCATGTTATGTGCTCCTATAACTACCAGCCTCATTAAATATTCCATCCTGTTCATCACTGTTATTGTCCCTCCTTTCACCAACCTCATGAAATGCCTCATTCTCATTGATCCTACTCCCACCAGCATCACTACAAAGCCCACCAGCATCACTAAAAACTGAACCACCAGCATCACTACAAACCCCACCACCAGCATCACTACAAACCCCACCACCAGGTTCTAAAGGATCACCAGGTGCTGGAAGCATTAAAACAGGAGATACAGGAACTATTTCAGCAAAGTTGGGGATGTGATCCACATATATATGAACTTCACCATGTCCCTTCATCACATCCAACACTTCCCTAACTGTCTCGTCTCCAATAATTTGCTTTAAACCATCATCTAGTGATTTGCTTGGTTCAAGATAATAAATACCTTCCACTAGATCAACATCATATCTACCAATTCCAACTTTCTCATAAAACTCCCAAACTGTTAACAACTCCGGATTCACTTGCCATGTATCACACTCCCCATCAACATATCTAAGGTTACCATCGCGGTCGTGTTTAAAACTACCACTAATGTGGATATACATTGGCAGTTAGTCACCACTCTTTTCTTCAATCTATTCATATCAACAATATAAAAAATAAAAAGATAATCAATACTCAACAATTAGTAGTGCTGCATCCAAACCAACCACTTTCAGTTCATTAATTATTTAATAATAATAAATTACTATATATGCATTTATCTGTCTGCATGGTCATATACAGAATCTACATACAGACAACAATGTGGGGACCAAATGTCACTTTAAAACAAAGAAAACAGCATAAAGTCC